GTGAGCGGAGTGGGAGGTGAGCGGGTGGGGGGTAAGGGGGACAGGGGAGGGGGGTGAGGGGGGCAGGAGGATAAGGGGGGAGGGGAGCCGGCAGGGGGGGAGGGGGCTGAACCCTGGGTCGAGGCCCTGGCCAGCTGCTGACTGGGTGTCCCTGCAGCAAACCCCTGGACATGGGCCGCATCGGCATCGCCTCCCAGGCCCTGGGCATCGCCCAGGCCGCCCTGGACTGCGCCGTGACCTACGCCGAGAACCGCAAGGCCTTCGGGGCGCCCATCACCAAGCTCCAGGGCATCCAGGTGACAGGCCCCCCCCCCCCCCCCCCCCCCGGAGCCTGGCCTGGACTCCGGGGAGGGAGGGGGCGGCGGAGGGTTACCTGCCCCCGCGGGAGGGAGGGGGGAAGGGAGGGGGAGGAGGGGTGGGGGCCATTGCTGACTGGCGGGCGGCCTGGTCTTGCAGTTCAAGCTGGCGGACATGGCCCTGGCCCTGGAGAGTGCCCGGCTGCTGACCTGGCGCGCTGCCATGCTCAAGGACAACAAGAAGCCCTTCACCAAGGTGCCCGGGACGCGGCTCCCTTTGGAGGCCGAGGGTCGGGAGAGGCTGGTGGGGTTCCCATTCCGGCTGCTCCAGGGGGGCCTCCCGGGCCGACCCTCTGGGCCGGTGCTGGGCACATGGGCAGCTCTGACCCACGTCCCTTCCCTGTGGTCAGGAGGCGGCGATGGCCAAGCTGGCTGCGTCGGAGGCCGCGACCGCCATCAGCCACCAGGTGAGTGTCGGCGGGTGAGTGGGCCGCCCCTCCCCGCGGTGCTCGTGAGGCTGGTCTGTCCTCCCGCCTGAGCCCGCTCTCTCCGGTCTCCTCCCCGCTCTTCCCCCCTCCCTCCCCTCCCCGCTCTCCCCGCTCTCCTCCCCGCTCTCTCCGCTCTCCCCGCTCTCCTCCCCGCTCCTCCCCGCTCTCCCCGCTCTCCCTCGCTCTCCTCTCCATTCTCCCCGCTCTCCCCGCTCTCCTCCCCGCTCTCCCCGCTCTCCCCGCTCTCCTCCCCGCTCTCCTCCCCGCTCTCCCCGCTCTCCTCCCCCGCTCTCCCCGCTCTCCCCGCTCTCCTCCCCGCTCTCCCCGCTCTCCTCTCCCATTCTCCCCTCCCCCCCTCCCCGCTCTCCCCGCTCTCCCCGCTCTCCTCCCCGCTCTCCCCGCTCTCCTCCCCGCTCTCCCCGCGCTCCCCGCTCTCCTCCCCCGCTCTCCCCGCTCTCCCGCTCTCTCCGCTCTCCCCGCTCTCCTCCCCGCTCTCCCCGCTCTCCTCTCCATTCCTCCCCGCTCTCCCCGCTCTCTCCTCCCCGCTCTCCCGCTCTCCCCGCTCTCCTCCCCGCTCTCCCCGCTCTCCTCCCCGCTCTCCCCGCTCTCCTCCCCGCTCTCCCCGCTCTCCCCGCTCTCCTCTCCCCGCTCTCCCCGCTCTCCTCTCCCCGCTCTCCCCGCTCTCCTCCCCGCTCTCCCCGCTCTCCTCTCCCCGCTCTCCCCGCTCTCCTCTCCCCGCTCTCCCCGCTCTCCTCTCCCCGCTCTCCCCGCTCTCCTCTCCCCGCTCTCCCCGCTCTCCTCCCCGCTCTCCCCGCTCTCCTCTCCCCCCTTTCCTCTCCCTGCTCTCCTCTCCCCGCTCTCCCCGCTCTCCCCGCTCTCCCCGCTCTCCCCGCTCTCCCCGCTCTCCCCGCTCTCCTCTCCCCGCTCACCTCCCCGCTCTCCCCGCTCTCCCCGCAGGCCATTCAGATCCTGGGCGGCATGGGCTACGTGACGGAGATGCCCGCCGAGCGGCACTACCGCGACGCCCGCATCACCGAGATCTACGAGGGCACCAGCGAGATCCAGAGGCTGGTCATCGCCGGGCACCTGCTCAAGAGCTACCGGAGCTGAGCCCGGGCCGCCCCGCCCGCGGCTGCGGACTGACTGTGCACAGGAGCGGGAGCCACACGGCCCTGACCCCGACTCCACCGTGCCCAGCCCTCCCGGTGCAGCCCCGGACCAATGTGCCGGAGCCTTCTGGAAGGCGATTCGAGGGGCTGGGGCCTGTGTGCAGACTCGGGCTCTGCTCCCCTCCCGACGTGCCTTATTCTTCATCTTCATCGAGGGGACGGCCTCCCGAAGGCGGGCCCGGAAGGACTTGCCACCAGGGGCTCAGCAGGAGCCAGGAGGGCCGCGATCCAGTGTCTTTTCTTCCCTGAGGTCAGGGGTCAGGGGAGTGGGTGGGGCCGGAGTAACTTCAGAGCAGCAGTGGCTGGGCTCTCGGCCGCCTGGGGACGCTGGGACTTGTGCTCCGGGTGAGAGGAGGCGGGTGGGGGGCAGATGGCTCGGCACAGTGTGGGACTGACAGCAATAAAGTGGACCCTCCGAGCTGTCCGTGCCTGTGCGCTGCGGGAGGCGGCTGCTCCCCTCGGCTTCTCACCATCGCATCCGCCTGTCGGAGGCCTGGCCGCCAGGAGAGCTGTGAGGCCGGTGACAGGGACACAGGCCAGGCGGGAGGAGGCTCGGGGCCTGAGTGTCAGGGGAGTGGCTCCCGCTAGGAAGGAAGGGGCCAGGAGGGGCTGGGGAAGGGGCAGAGCTGTAGAGGCCCTGTGAGTGCTGGGGGGCGGGGAGGGGGACTGGGGAGCAGCGCTGAGCCTGCCAGGGGGTCTTGGTGGGGACCGGGCTTTGGGCCAAGATGCCTGGGGCAGGAGCCTGCACGCAGTCGCTGGCGACGGGAGTGGAGAGAACGAGGAGGAAAGCCCACCTGGCGATGCTGTGAGGTCTGGGGACAATGGGGAGACGGCCCATTTGGAGCCACCACCGAAAGGGTGCGGACGTACCCGCCATCGCCCGTGACTTCTGTGCCAGGCGGGTGCAGCCTCCCCCCCCACCCTCCGGGCCCAGCTCCTCGTGGGAACCAGGCCCTGATTTCACCATCTGAGGGCACACAGGGCGGGGGCGGCGCAGGTGAGGCTCCTGGGAATGGGGTCAGCTGCCACCAGCTCCGAGGTCGGGCAGCGCCAGGGCCGTGCTGGCTGGTGGGCTGTGCCGCTCCAGCTCCAGGTGAGCGCCCGACACCCTGGCTGGTGATGCTGAGGGTGAGGGGAGCCGGAAGGGTGGGTTCAGGGCTTCTCCCAGGAGCAGGTGTGGCCACCCCACGGGGGAGCGGGGGGGGGGGGTCCGACCCCTTAGGGACCCCCAGGAACCGGGGGGAGGGTGTCGGTGGCTCCGCCCTGGCCCAGCGGAGGGCAGAGAACGGTCATTCTCCTGCTGCCCTGCCAGTACTGCGAGGGGCTCTGAGACCTGACTCTCCGAAGAGCCGCATGGACGGTGCCGTGCAGGTTTGGGTTGGGGTCACTGGTTAAGTGGAGGTGTGATTGGCTTCAGGGCTCGGGGACGGGGAGCCGAACTGAGCTCCCGTTGCAGGCGGGTGGCCCGGACCCAGCTCTCCTGCAGGGCCCTGACCTCCCAGCTGGGCATTCAGGCCTCCGCCTCCGCCCCTGGTCCTGCAGCGGGAGCACCTGGGCCTGGTCCAGGGGCCTGGCTCCTCGCCCTGCGGGGAGCACCCTCTCCCCGGGGCCGTGTGTTCCTCTGTGCGTAGCCGAAGGCCCCGGCTCGGAGCCAAGGTCCTGAGCGCTTGGCCTCCCAGAGATCCTCCCTGGAGAGGCGAGCCCCAGACCCTCGGCTCTGACGGGGAGCAGGCCTGTCAGGCAGAGACCCCGGCTTAGGGCTTAGAACTCTGCCCCCGAGTCCGTGTGGACACGAACGCCTGAGCAGACGTGATGCCTCCAAAGAGCGAGGACAGCCAGCGGAGGAGAGGGGGTGTGTGTGTGAGTGTGTGTGAGTGTGAGTGTGTGTGTGTGTGTGTGTGTGTGTGTGTGTGAGTGTGTGTGTGTGTGTGTGTGTGTGTGAGTGTGTGTGTGTGTGAGTGTGTGTGTGTGTGAGTGTGTGTGTGTGTGTGAGCACGGGCAGGACACAGTGGGCTGCAGGGGCCCCCGGGACCTGTAGTGTGTTAGCCAGTGTCTCTCAGCACGCAGCTCCAGCACAGGTGCTTACTGAAGGAACAAACTCCAGGTGAGTGGGCATTGGCTTGGGCCCTCTTAGGGGCTGCGGCCCTGGCCCCTTGCCTAACGGTCCCGGGAGAAGAGAAAGGGGGTTTGTGCGCTTTGGCTTGATTCCTCTTCTCCGTGAGAAAGGGGGTGGGGGGTCAGGCTCCCTGGGGTCAGGCTTCCTGGCGGGAGGAGGCGGGTGTAAACATGGCCCCGCAGAGGATGAGGGGCCTGGGTTAGGGTAGGGCCCGGGATTGATGCAGTTTTCCTGAGACGTGAAGCTTACACAGCCTTGGAGGGCTCCTTAAGGAGAATTGGAAACAGGACAGAACGAGGCGGAGGCGGAGCACCTTAAAGGAGCTCATCAGTCCCACAGCAGACCCCGCACTGCCCTGGGGGGCGGGGGGTGAGCTGACTGAAAGGGCAGGTGTGTGTTCTCCCTCTGTACAGCGGAAAGGCCTGGAATAACAGTTTCCTATGGCAACGAGCCTCGGGTCCCTAAAGAAACAGCTAAGCCTGGCCGGCATGGCTCAGGGGTTGAGTGTTGACCTATGAACCAGGAAGTCAATAAAATTACATTTAAAAAAGAAAAGAAAAAAAAGGAAGTAGCTGAGAACAGTCGTGGGGGAAATACAAGGATATCCAGTGCCAGGCGGGGTGGATGCAAGAGGCGCCCCAGGCGAGTGGGGCTGCGTCAAATGACCCGGGAGAGGGGTCTGGAAGCTTTTGTCCAGCTTGCTAGGAGTGTTCACACACTTAAATGCTAACAACGCCATCGCTCCCAAGCCTTTATAAAATACTTTTTTTATTGATTTCAGAGAGGGAAAGAGAAACATCAATGATAAGAGAGAATCATTGATTGGCTGCCTCCTGTACACCTCCCACTGGGGATCAAGCCTGCAACCCAGTGCCCTGACAGGGAATTAAACCAAACCTCCTGGTTCACAGGTCAACTCTGAGCCATGCCAGCCAGGCTCAATTTTTTTTAAATAATATATTTTATTGATTTTTTATAGAGAGGAAGGGAGAGGGATAGAGAGTCATCAATGAGAGAGAAACATCAATCAGCTGCCTCTTGCATCCCCCCCCCCCCCCACTGGGGATGTGCCCGCAATCAAGGTACGTGCCCTTGACCGGAATCAAACCTGGGACCTTTCAGTCCGCAGACCGATGCTCTTTCCACTGAGCCAAACTGGTTTTGGCTCATATACTTTTTAATATTTCATTTAAATTCCTCTATTGACTTTTCTTCTATGTAGTTTGCATTTTATATTTTTAAGAGTATTTTTCTTAGATTACAATATGTATCCTTAGCGTTTTATGGCCTACCTAGAGTTAACATTTTACTGCATCACAAAACTGTAGAAACATTGCAACTATATGAGTCTGTTTACCTCCACCCTGTATTTCATTTTGTGCAATATTTGCTATAGGTACAAGCCCCACTATGCAATGTATATTAAATAAATGAATCCCTAGCTGGTTTGGCTCAGTGGATAGTGTGTCAGCCTGTGACTGAAGGGTCTTGGATTTGATTCCGGTCAAGTGCACATGCTTGGGTTGCGGGCTTGATGCCCAGTAAGGGACGTGCAAGAGGCAGCCAATCAATGATTCTCTCTCATCATTGATGTTTCTATCTCTCTCTCCCTCTCCGAAATCAATAAAGATATATTTTTTAAAAAAGAAATGAAGAGAAAAGTCTTTCTGTTTAATCTACATGTTTATTCTTATCAGTCATATTAGTTATCTGTTGCTGCATAACAAATAACCCCATGATTCAGTGACTTAAAAGAACAATAGACATTCCACAGTCTCTATGACTGGGGAACCAGCATTGGCTCAGTTGGGTGGTCCTGGCTGGTGGTTTCCTAGGAGATCACAGTCAAGGTTTGGCCAGGGCTCTGGTCACTTGAAGGCTTGACGTGGGGAGTCTGCTTCCAAGCACTGGCCTGGCTGCCAGCTGGTCCTGGCTGTCTTGGCTGGAGCCTCCGTTTCTCACCACGTGGACGCTCCTTTCGCAACTTGTGTGTCTTCATGACCTGGCATTAGACTTCCCCCCTTCTGTGTGAGTGACCCAAGAAATTGAGATATAATTCACATACCATGAATCTCACCCTTTGAAAGTATGCAGGTCCATGGTTTTAAAATATATTCACCAAGTTAGACTCATCTAATTCTATTATAGAATACTTGCATCATTCCTGGAGAAATTGTGTGCCTATTAGCTGTCCTCCCCTTTACCCTTCCCATTGCCTCTGACAACCATTAATCTCCTGTCTGTATCTGCTCCGCCAATTTCTGACATTTTACATACTGTATACTAGAGGCCCTTTGCACAAAGATTCATGCAATAGGCCTTCCTTCCCCGAGCTGCTGGCACCAGTTTTCCTCTGGCACCTGGGACTTAGGCCTTCACTCCGTCCTAGCAGAGAAGCCAAGCCTCTTCAGTCTTTAATCTTTAGCCTTTGTTCCATGCCTGTGTATGCAAATTAACCTGCCATATTTGTTGGGTTAATTTGCATACCCACTCCTGATTGGCTGGTGGGCATCACGGAGGTACGGTCAATTTGGCATCTTTCTCTTTTATCAGTGTAGAAGTGAAATCACATGTCATGTGGCCTTTAGTGTCTAGCGTCTTTTACTTATCATGTTTTCAAGGTTCATCTGTGTTTCTTGTGTCAGTAGTGTGCCTTTACATGGCTGAGGAATATCCCATTGATGGACATTTTGTTTGAACGTTTGTCAGTCGCTGGTCACTTGGTTGTCTCCATTTGGGAGCTGTTGTGCATAGGGCAGCCATGAACAGCGCCCAGGAGTTCTGTGTGGATATATGCCGTGTTTTCTTGTGTGCGTAGCCATGAG